TCTGATTAATCTCCTTTGTCATTGTGTCCTTTGCCATTCCCTATCACTCCTCCCTGAGAGAGATTCCACCCTGATTCATAAGGAAAAGGGGACAGCGTATTCTCTTTGCTACTTCCTGCTGAAAAGGGATACTGTAGGTTTCAGGGTGAAGATCTTCTCTTACTACTCTGAAGGGCCCCTTTGGCAATAGGAAACATGTAGACTATTGTGGAGATTGATTTTGGAATTTAGATGCACTGTTATCGGTTGTGCTTAGCCATACATGTTCATATCCTTGAAGATGCATCATGGAACTGTTGCAGCCTAGAAGACACAAATTTAACAAGTTAAAAGTACATGAGTCAAAAATTAAAAGCAATAATATTCTAAGTAGAGGTTTTAATAGTGGCACAAATCAAGTTACAGAGGGAACGTAGTCCTTAGAATAAAAGGCTTATTGACTAGCACTTCGTCTATTATAGTATAGATCAAACCCCATTCTTGAATATTACATAGGACTTTCATTTTTCAGAGGTCACTTTTTTCTTCGGTCTACTGCTCGGGAGAAACAGCGTATGAAGTTTCTGTTTCTGGCCCATCCTACCTGGAAGTTAGATCCCTTCAGTGCTTACCTGGCTTTATCTAGATGTACCATCAGTTCTCTGTTATTGCTGGAAACCTCTTTCTAAGACTTGGAGATCAAATTTATGTCATACTATGATAATTTTCCATGGTTTCCATTCTTAATTAGACTTCTCACTTTTTTTTTGGTCACATGAATATGCCAGTATGTCTTTGGACTGTATTCTTTTTTTATATAAATGTTGTTATCTAATAATTAATTTTTATCAAATCTTTTTCATGAGATTTTGTGGGAAACATTGGCTCAGCCTGACATGATGCCAATTTAAGTTTGATGTTCCCCCCTCCCTTAGTTTTTGTCCTCCTCTTAGTTTAATAGCCATGCTTTCTTGAGAGAATGCTATGGTGGATGTATTTATTGATAACAGTTCCCATTAATTATTCTCTTCATTTGCTCAACACCATCAGAAAAGCTTCCCTAGTAATGAACTATAGAAATGACTCCTGAAAGTACAGCATTTTCTCATTAATTAGGAAGAAAATTATAAGCCCAAAGTGGAAAAAGGAAATATATTTTCAGGATAATTTGTTGGAGAAAAAACCCATAGACTGTTTCTGCTGCTTGTAAAAAGGAAATTCCTTCCAGGAATGACCGTTTTACTCCTCATTGATCTATAACTATAGGGGTTGAATATCAGACCATAAACACTTCTTTTTATAGTCTCTGATGTAGACCATCAAATTGCTTTCTAAACAAATACAAATAGATTGTTCTTTTACGTGGTAGTGTATGAACACGACTGCTAATACTGTATAATTTCTTTTTCTCATATGTTAATCTTGTAAGTGATGTTTTACTTTTTACATTGTCATTTTAAAAAATTTGTTGTATAGCATTGTGTATTAAGAATCCTTTAGCCAAACTTCCTTACCCCTTTACACAAGTGACAAAAGTATATGTATGTGAAGAAGATATATTGGTAATATATATGACTCTGCCCCCAAAAATATGCTACCAAGTCAGTAATGACCCTATAGAATAGAGTAGAACTGACTCACAGGGTCTCCAAAGCTATAAATATTTGTGGAAACTGACTTCCATATCTGCTGGCTCATTTTTCTCCCAAGGACTGACTGATAGATTAGAACCACTAACCTTTTGGTTAGAAACCATATGTTTTAACAACTATTCCACCAGGCCTCCAGTAGATATAAAAATGAGTTTATATCCTCTGTGAGTGTGAATGCACATAGAATACACAGATAGGAATTAAGAAGAATTAACACATATAAAATGAAAAATACCAGTGCAACAATGAATGAATGGAAACCCAAAATCTCTGTAAATGTTTATGAAAATTAATAAAATATAATTATAGAAAAAAAAAGAAAAATACCATTAAAAAGTAGTTCAAATAATATGGATGGTCAATAAGTACATGAAAGTTAACTCTGCTAATAAACAAATAAATATAAATAAAATAATTTTTTGCAAACGAAGAATTATTTTCCAAGTAATTGTTTTTTTTATTTTCTATTTTGTCTTTATTTATACATTTACAAGATTTTAAAATGAACACTTACTACTTTTAAAATAATTTCCTTATGTATGAAAAAAGCATTTTTTAAAACAATCTGGAAATTAGGACTAGTATCCTTGACAGCCAATGCTATTTTTAAATAAAACATTTAAACTTTAGTTTTTTATAAACCTAATAGGATTTTTTTAAAGATCTTGAAAATTACTACTGTTTAGCCTAAAAATGCTTTAGAGATGTGTGCTATTGTTAAGTCATGTTGAGTAAAGTACAACTCATAGTGACCCTCTGAACAACAAATCTGAACTCTGTCCTATTCTTGCCATCCTTGGCATCCTCTGGAGATTTGAGTCCATTGCCTCAGCAAGTCCATGTTGTTGAGGGTCTTTTTCTCCTTCACTGACCCTCCACTTTTCCATGCAAGATGTCCCTTTCTAAGGAACTTTGCTGTTAGGTGCTGTCGAGTCCCCTATGACACATAGCAACCCTATGTACAACAGCTCTGAAGCCTGCCCTGTCCTGAACCAGTCTCACTGATTCTAACACATCTACCCACATTGCTCTAGCTACTGTATAAATCCATCTCATCCGGAGTTGTCTTCCCTTGTGCTGTCTACCCTTCCGAGCATGTTGTTCTTCTCCAAGGATCAGTCCCTACTGGCCACATGCCCACAGTATGTGAGACGGAGCTTCTAACTCCTAGCATCTAAGGAGAAACTTGGTTTCACCCTCTCCAAAACAGACCTGTTTGTTTTCTTGGAGGCCATGGTATGTTCAAGACTCTTCTCCAGCACTATAACTCAAAGGCATCAATTCTTCTTCTTCAGTCATCTTTAGCCATTGTCCAGCTCTCTGATGCATAGCAAGTAATTGCTGAGACCATGACTTGGATCAGGCACACAGTAGTCTCTATCTAGATTGACATCATTGTTTCTCAGTACTCTAGAGAGGTCTCTGACAGCAGATTTACCCAGTGCAATCTGCCTTTTGATTTCCTGACTACTGGTGCCAATAGTGTTGATTGTGGAGCTGAGCAAGCTGAAACTGTTAACAACTTTATCTCTTCTACAATCCATCATAGTGCCAGCCTCTCATAGTGACATGTCCAGACAAGTGAGACAAAGCTTCATCATCTTTGTCTCCAAGGACCTGGCTGTGCTTTTTCCAAGACATACTTGGTTTTTTGGCAGTTCATGGGATAGTCCACATACTTCTTTATCACCACAACTTAAAGTCAAAGAGATGTGTACCACAGTATAATTTTAGTTGCCTCTAAAAATAATACTTAATTATTTGCCCACATAGTGCTTTTTCAAAAGCCTGTATCACATCTTTTGTTCTTTTTCTCTCAGCTTAAATGATGTTTCAGACAAATGCTTGAGAATTTATTCACAAATCACTGTGAAAAACAAGGGGTGAAAATGTTACTTAGTAAATTATTATAGTAACAGTAAGTTAAAAGTAATTTAGTAAATTATTGGTAAATCTATTTCCAAACACTTGAGACTAGCTTGATTTGTGTGTCTTGTGTCCCAATGAAAACATTGTGATGGTGCACAATGTTTAGCTGGTGGATTTTTTCTTTCATTGCTACTTTAAGAAAAGTATTTTGTATTCGTAGGAGCTGTCAAAAAACCTTGAGCTGAGTACTAACAGTTTCCAGAGGCAGCTGCTTGCTGAAAGGAAAAGGTCATCGGAGGCTCATGATGAAAATAAAGCTCTTCAGAAGGAGCTGCAACGACTGTGTCAGAAGTTAAAGGTGAGCTCTTTAAATTGCATCATTTTCCCTGTAATATTAGATTAAAAGTCCATGTTTTAAAACAATAACCATTGACAATTCATGGTTTTTAATTAGTATAACATAATTAACAAAATTCTTTGGCACTTAAGAGGAAAGGATGTATAACCTCTATAACACATACCAAAAATTACATGCTTAATACATTACTAGGAATGTTGTGACTGAAATACACTGTTAGATCATAGATGAAAACTATGACAACTGGACTTTTTCTGTTACATATTTGAATAACCTAGTGTTTCTTCAGAAATAATCCCATGATTTTTTTTCTTCTCCACTTTATTTGTCTTTTTATATTGGCTTGCATGAAAAATGAATATATATTGTGTATCATTCATTTACATTATGTTACACATATTCCTTTATTCATGTTGTGTTTCAAACACTCACGTACATTGTATGTATAAAATTGATCACTGTTGATCTATGACTACTCTTACTCCAGCTTTTCAGGTCCGCATTGGATCTTTCCTCATTTCTTCCACCCCACTCTCTTTCTGCCACCAAACTCTATCTTACTCATTTTCTTCCCTCCCCATAGTCACTATCCCTGTCCCCCTCCACTTCCTCTTTTGGACTTTTATCCACATCTTACTAGTTATTCTTCTATTTTTACAGTAATGCTCTTTAGCAGTATAGGTCCTTATGAGACTGAGTTCACATAGCATAATGTTCTCTAGATTATCCCATGTTATATTTTACAAAATTATTACTCCTTATGCAGCATAGTATTCCATTGTGTGAATATACCATAATTTCTCAATCCATTCATTTGTAGATGAGTATTTGGGCTGTTTCCATCTTCTTGCTATTGTTAATAATACTGCTGTAACACTGGTATACACATTTCCATTGTATTAATTTAAATTAATAATAAAAAAATTAAAATAAAAAACAAAAAACCCAAATTTCCATTGTGTCTCATGTTTATTTTACTAACCCCATTTTTAAAAATTTTTTTTTAAATTTTATTATTTTGTGTGTGTGTGAGTGTACTGTCAAATCAGATCTGACTGGTACAGGAGGAGATTGTCCTTCCTTCCCTGGCAGAGCATCTGGTGGATTCGAACCATGTGCTCTGGAATTGTGGTTGCAGCTCCTTGCCACTAGGCCACCAGAGCTCCCCTAATCCCATTATTTTTAAGGTTTCAAATAATACCCTAAATTTTCAATGTTTAGAGAGGCATTTGATTTTAATTATCATTAATTAATATAATTAACTAATTATAGTATCAAATCAGCTCATTTACCCAACTAATTTATTCATTTTTGCTCACCTCTCCTACCCATCTCATCTGTTAACTCCCTCAGAATGACTCTGGCTGTGTGAAAACCTTTTCTTTTCTTAGCTTTAGATCATAATAATCTTACACAGTAATTGTCTTATTGTGATGACTTATGTCAGCATAATTTGTTCTAGATTAGTACATGTTGTACAATTTTCACAAACATTTGAGCCTTTTTCAGTGATGTATAATACCCCATTATAAGCATGTGTCCTTAATTCTATGAAAAGGTTATTGATGGGTTAAAATTATGTGCAAAATTAAATGTTTAATTCTCAGAGAGTTATGATAAAAAACTACGAAAATCTATGTTTAAAAGGAATGGTTTTAATTTTTAGCCAATCAGTTGTTCAGAACCTCGATGTGAGAGATACTAACCAAATTCTTTGTCTCTATGGATAAACCTTGAAACAAGTCGAGTTATTGTTAGATCTATCTATCTATCAAGTAGGAATAAATAGAAAATAAATATTTGCCTAATTTACTCTCATTCTCTTTACTGAAAGGGCATATTGGAATTTTAAAATTTAAAAATGTATGTATATCTCCTCAAACTAAGTGTACTAGAAGCATCTCTACCTTAGTAATTCTGAAGGGAAGTTAAACTAGGTATATTTTAATTTGTTAAGGAAAATACAGTTGATATAGTAAGGATTTTTGTTTTATTTTCAATTGTGGATCTGTATCTTTGATAATTAATTGTATTGGGTTTATTTCAGGAAAAGGAGAAGGAGCTGGATATAAAAAACATATATTCTAATCGCCTCCCAAAGATCTCTCCAAAGAAAGAATGTACACTTAAGAAAAATGGTATATATAGTAGCTATTATTGTTTTAAAAATGGTGTTGTAACTATTTATTAGTAGTAAAAAGAATTAATTATGAGGTAGGAGGAAAAGAGCCTCATTGACTTGAATTTAAATTAAGTGTATATTTTATAATTAAAATTTCCTTATAATTAATATCATAAATTCTGTCGTCTTAGTTTTATTCCCTAGAGAGAAGGTGATTAAAGTTAGTACCTTACATATTTTTTTACATTTCCTTACTATAAATTTATTTTAAAATTTTTAAATATATTCTAAAGTAAAATGAATGGTATGAAGAATCTTAATATATCCATCATTTAACTTTAACAGCTACACAATTTTCCAGTTTTATTTATTCTACTTTTAGAATATTTTACAGCCAATACCGGATAGTTAATTTCACTCAAATACTTTGATTATAATGCATAGCTTTACTTTGTTTTTGAAAAAAAATATAAATTCTCTCTTCTGTGATTTGCGAGAATTTTAAAATATAAATTTTGGCATATAAGAAATTCTAGACAGAATTGTCTTCAAAATCTGTAATTCTTATAAACAAAATAGTATACTAAGTCTTTAGATGGTGAATATATACTATTTCATTTCCATATATCTTTGCATTATTCATTGTGATTAGAAAATGCTCTTATTTTCATGGTAGCTGCATGCCAGAGTGACATTACAGACCAGTGTACAAAAGGAGTGCAAACCAGTGAAGACTTTGAGCTGGAAGAATTTTCTGTAATACCACAATCAGTTATGTGTTATGAAAACCCATGGGAAGAACCTGAGCGTCCTACTTTGGTGAGTTTAACTACTAAATTTAGGTACAAAATTCTATATTTTAATTGATTTCTAAGAAGGAAAGCATTGTAAAACTCAGCAATGAAGATAGTGAGGCATGCATGTGAATCTGCAAGTAACATTTTTTAAGAGAATGAGAACATCTTTGTCTTTTGCAAAATTCATTTTGATTGATTCTTTTAGGCAACTTTCAGGTATCTCAAAAATGTAGATTGTACCTTTTGGGTTGGAAGTATCACTCATTAACTCACTGTAGTTGTGTTGGTACAGACTCATAGCTGATGCTATATTGGTTTTCCAAAGATGTAAATTGCATGGGAGAATATTGCTCATCTTTCTTCTGACGGGTTACTGGTGGATTTGAACTGCCATAGACACAACTTTTGGGTTAGCACAATTCTCTCTGGGGTAGGAGAGAAGAATTTGTCTCTTTATGTCAAGATAGTCATGAGAACCCACCACTGCTTTTATGTTTCATAATAAATTTCAGTAGTTTGTTTTTTTCTTTTTCTTTGTATTGATTTGCTTACAAAGTTTGTATACACTGTATTTCACACTATTCTTCATTCATGTTATATTTCATACAATCATTCACATGCATTATGTTTTATAAAATGAATCACCATTGGACCTTGCCCATCATTACCTGGTTTTTTCACCCAGATCCTTCCCATTTCCATCCCTCCTTCCTCCACCCACCAGACTGTGAAACCCTGTGATGTTGCACCTACGTATCCTTACTCCTCTGCTCCCACCCCTTCCCTCCTTGAGCTCCTATGCATGTTTTACTAGTTCTCTTTCCATTTTTATAATAATGGTCGTATGCAGTATTTGTCCTTATGAGGCTGAATTAGTTCCCTCAGCATAATGCTCTCTAGTCTCTCCCAAGTTATGTAGTAGTATTTTTCAAAATCATTGCTCTTGAGTGCTATGTCCCACAATTTCTCAATCCATTCAGTTGTGGTTGGACATTTGGGTTGTTGCTATGAACATTGGCATACAAATTTCCATTGTGTCTTAGTTATAATTTCCTTGGGGTATATTCCAAGTAGTGGAATAGCTGGGTTATACAGAGTTTCTATGTTCAACTTTTTGAGGACACACCAAACTGTTTTCCTGAGTGGTTGTACTATTTTACATTCCCATCAACAGCATATGAGAGTTGCCCTGCTAAACTTTGCCACTACTACTGGAGTGAGATCATTGTGGTTTTGATTTGCATCTCTCTTGTTGCCAGTGATTTTGAGCCTTTCTTCACGTGTCTGTTAGCCATCTGAATGTCTTCTTCTGTGAAAAGTCTCTTCATGTCTTTTGCCCATTTTGTAATTAGGTTATCAGTCTTTTTCTCTTGAAGGCCCAAAATTATTGTATAAACTTTTGTTATGAGACCCTTGTCTGAGATGGTATTGCTAAATATTTGTTCCCATTTGGAAGATTTTCTTTCCTCCCTACCTGAAAAAGTTTTTAATGACAAAAGATATTTAATCTTTAGAAAATCCCATTCATTAATTTTATCCTCTCCAGCTTGTGCATTTCTGGTTGTATTTGCCAGTTCACAAAATCTCAAGAAAATAGCAGTCAGCTTCAAACACTGTGAAAAAACAAATTAAGCCTTCTCCAAAAAGAGCAGAGAATAATGCAGACCTAATGAATATCCCAGCATAAAAAAGGCAGATGATATATATTGATATGCAGACATCTGAACAGCTACAAATTAAAGTACAAATTATGGAAGAAACAATGGAAGCCACAAATAAATGGAATAACCTAGAGATAAAGAACCAAAAGAAATAATTAATGAGGAATTATTTGAACAGCTACAGAAGAAGGTGCAAATGACAGAAGAAACAGTGGAAGCCACTAAGAGAGCAAATACTCCAGAGATTCAGAGCCAGAAAAAATATATTGATGGAGAAACTTTCTAAGGAAGAAAATGCAAAAGATGGAAGAAAGAACTGAAACTATAGATAGAGAGGTACAAGAACTTAAAAAAATCATTACAAGATAGGGTACAGCCAGTGCAGTACTGAAAATAACAGAAGTGCATGAAAATGCAATCCAGAATATTAAAACCGAAATGACAGAAGTGTCCAACATGTTGGAAGGACAAAAAATATAACAGAAGAGATGTAGCAGAGAGTCAGTGAGCTGGAAAACAAGAACTTCAGTGGAAACTTACTAGAAGAAAAATCAGAGATGAGACATAAAGAAAATGAAGAAAACATAAGAGTTATGTGTGATGATGTTAAAAGGAATAATATACATATGATTAAAATTCCAGAATATGAGAGGGACATGGAAATCACTGAGAAAACTGAGAAAGAGGTTCTAGAAAAAAACCTTCCCAGGTATTATGAGAAACGAGGAAATCAACATTCAGGAAGCTCAACTAGACTAGATTTAAAAAGAAAAACATCAAGACACATCCTCTAAAATAAAAGATAAGGATAAAATACTGAAAGCAGCATGAGAAAAACAGTCCACCTATGAAGGAAAACAATTAGGTTAAGTACTGATTTTTCAGCAGAAACCATGCAACCAAGAAGACATGGGATGGCATATACAGAGGTTGAAAGAAAACAGTTGCCAGCCAAGGATCCTGTACCCAGCAAAACTCTCCCTCAAATATGAAGGAGAAATCACATCCTTTGCAGAAAAGAAAGAAGGAATTTGTGAAAACAAGACCAATTCTACAGGAACTTTTAAGGGAAATCCTTCACACAGAGACACCAAAGGAAAGTAGATGTACCATAATAACAAGAAAGAACAAAAAGGAAACATAGCAAAATGGCAAAGATAAAACCTGGCCTGTCAATAATCATACCTAATGTGAAGGGACTGAATGCATTAATCAAGAGATAAAGAGTAGCAGGATGGATAAAAGAGCAATACGGTGTCTATAGGAGACACATCAAAGAAATGAAGAAAAAGATAGACTCAAAATCAAAGGCTGGGAAAAAATATTCCAAGCAAATGGCATCCACAAAAAAAGCAGGAGTGGCAATGCTAATCTCTGATAAAATAGACTTCAGAGAGAAAACTACCATAATAGATAAGGAGGGACACTATATAATGATTAAAGGCATAGTAGATCAAGAAGACAGAACATTGGGTCAACATCTATGCACCAAATGATAGACTCGCAAAATACATAAAATAACTTAAGAAAATTGAGGAAAGAAACAGCACCACAACAGTGGTGGGAAACTTTAACACACTACTCTAACCAAAGGATAGATCAACTCAAAAGAAATGTAATAAAGATGCAGTCAGCCAACTCAGCCTTGTGAATGTATTCCAAGTACTGCACCCAACTAAAACTCAATTCACTTTCTTCTAGTGCACATGTCACATTTTCTGGAATTAATTACATATTAGGGCACAAAGCAAGCTTCAACAAATTAAAAAATATTGAAATAATACAAAATATCTTCTCAGACCACAATGTAATAGGACTAGAAATTAAGAGGATAAAGATTTTAAAACCACCAATGTGGAAGCTAAATAATACACTTCTTAAACACGATTGTGTTATAGAAGAAATAAAGTATGAAATAAAAAAGTTCTTAGAAACAAATGATAATGAAAATACAACATACCAAAACCTCTGGGATACAGCTAAGACGGTTTTCAGCAGACAATTCATAGAAATAGACAAACACATAAAAAATGAGGAAAGAAGCAAAATTAATGATTTAATTCAACATCTTCATCAAATAGAAAAAGATTAATCATCTAACCCAATAGCCTCTAGAAGAAAAGAAATTATAAGGACAAGAGCTGAAATCAGTGAGATAGAAAACAGTAAAACAATTGAAATCATTAACAAACCCAGGAGTAGATTTTTTTTTTAAGGGTCAATAAAACTGACAAACCTTTGGCAAGCTTAACAAAATAAAGAAAGAAGACATAGCTTGATTAAGGATTGATAGAGGTGACACCGAAACAGAACCAGAGGAAATTAAATCTGTAATATGGTAATATTATTGAAAGCTATACTGTGATTGTACAGAACAGAAGAACAGAACAGGGAAACACTGTATGTTTCAAAATTAGGAAGGGAGTGTGTCAGGGATGTATCCTGTTTCCATACTATTTCAATCTTTATGCAGAACAGATCATTTAGGAGGCTGGGCTTTATGAAGAGGAATGTGGCGTCAGGATTGGAGGAAGACTCATCATCAACCTGTTGTTGTTGTTGTTGTTATGTACCGTCGAGTCGCCTGCGACTCATAGCGACCCTATGTACAACAGCCCTAAACTCCGCTCTGTCCTGTACCAATCGCACTGTCTCTGACACTCCCATCCCAATTATCCCAGTCACTGAATCAATCCACCTCATAGAGGGCCTTCCTCTCCTGCGCCGTCCCTCCACCCTCCCAAGCATGATGTCCCTCTCTAAGGACCGGTCTCTCCTCACTATATGTCCAAAGTAAGTTAGACGGAGCCTCAGAATCCTTGCCTCCAAGGAGCCACCTGGTTTAACCCTCTCCAGGACAAATCTATTTGTTTTCCTAGCAGTCCATGGTATTCTCAATACTCTTCTCCAGCTATACAAATAACACAACCTTGTTTGTGGAAAATGAGGAGGACCTGAAGTGTTTGCTGCAGAAGGTCAAGGACTATGGTCTTCAATATGAATTGAAGTTCAACATCAAGAAGAGAAAGATTCTCACCACTGGGCCAATTGGGAGCATCATGACAGATGGAGACGAGATTGAAGTTGTTAACAGTTACAGCTTTCTCAGCTCCACAATCAACGTTCTTGACACCAACAATCAAGAAATCAAAAGATGAGTTTTCAGCAGGAAGTAGCTAAGAGAATACGCCATCCCCTTTTCCTTATGACTCAGGGTGAAGTCTCTCTCAGGGAGGAGTGATAGGGAATGGCAAAGGACACACTGACAAAGAAGATTAATCAGAACTGGCTTTGACAAGCACTGTGGCATTTGGACAAGAACAAACTGGGAGGAGGGTAGAGAGAATAGTGCAACAATGAATGAATGGAAACCCAAAATCTCTGTAAATGTTTATGAAAATTAATAAAATATAATTATAGAAAAAAAAAGATGAGTTACATTAGGTAAATCTGCTGTCAAGGCCCATCCAGACTACTGAAAAGCAATGATGTCAGACGAGAGACTAAGGTGTGCCTGGTCCAGTCCATTGTCTTCGAAGTTACTTGCTATGCATCAGAGAGCACAACAATGACTTAAGGATGACAAAAGAAGAATTGATGCCTTTGAGTTGTGGTGTTGGGAAAGAGTCTTGAACATACCATGGACCTCAAAGAAAACAAATAGGTTGGTCTTTAAGAGGGTGAAACTAAGTTTCTCCTTGGAGGCAAGGATTTTGAAGCTCCATCTTATGTACTTTGGCCACATGACCAGGAGGGATTGATCCTTGGAGAAGGACATCATGCTCGGAAGGGTGGAAGGACAGTAGAGCAGATAAAGACCCTGGATGAGATGGACTGATACAGTACCTAGGACAATGAGGGTAGGTGTGTCAGAATCAGTGAGATTGACTTAGGACAGGACAGGCTTTAGAGCTGTTGTACATAGGTCGCAGGCAACTCAACAGCACATAACAACAACAACAACAACAACAATATACTCTGATAAAATTGAAAACTTAGAGGAAATCTTTCCCTTGCACTTAGAAAATGACATTTTATGTAGACTGTCACATCATTTTACCACTACAGACCTCACCACATTGCATTTAGAAGTGTCTGGGTATAGCCAAGGACCCCTAGTGCCTGGACTGTTAGCCAGAGGTTTGGAGGCTCAAATCCACCCAGCCACTGTGTGGAAGAAAGGTGGGCACTCTTGTCTCATAGATTTACAGCCTTGGAGACCTGATGGAGCATGGCTGTGAGTTGGAATTACCTTGGCAGCAGCGAGTTTGACTTTTCATTTGCATATATGCCAACTCTAGGTGGTGAATTCAAAGGCTGGAAATCAGCTTACTTCTTTCCTGGATCCAAAGAACTCAAAATAGTTACTGAAACCTCTGGTGGTTGTTAAGTGCCATCAAATTTGCTCCACTGCCTGATGACCAGTCTTGTACCATCCTCACTATCTCCACAAACATTTGCACCATTGTTGTGCCATATTGTCAATCTGTTCTGACATGTGTGATGTATAGCTGTTAGGACATGCATCGTTTATAGGAGCCTCAACAGGACTTTCAAATGTGGCTACTTATTATCAGGGTGCTTCACTGGAAAGGGACATCATGCTTGAAAAGATGGAGAGCCAGCAAAAGAGCAAAAGACCCTCAACATGGAAACAGATCATATGTCCAACCACAACTGAATGGATTGAGAAACTGTGGTACATTCACACAATGGAATGCTGTACAGCACTCAGGAGCAACGATTTTGAAAATAACTGCGCAACTTGGAATAGACTGGAGAGCCTTATGCTGAGGGAACTAACTCAGTCTCATAAGGGAAAATACTGCGTAAGATCATTATTGTAAAAATAGAAGGATAACCAATAAGACATGTATGGAAACCCAAGAGGGGAAAGAGTGGGAACAGAGGGTTGAGAATGGGTAGGGGTGAAACCATAGGGTTGCACATTTTGGTGGGTGAATGGAGGGAGAGAAGCAAATGGGAAGGATCTGAGCAAAAAGAGAGGGTAATGATGGGCAAGGTCCAGTGGTGATTAATGCATGAGAATTATGTTGATCACCAAGGGTCACTATGAGTCATCTACGACTTAACGGCACTTAACAGCTACAACAACATAGAGAGAGCTCTGTGGGCCTCATGGATAGAAAGTTATGCTACCCAGCCAAAGGTGAGTGGTTTTAACCTGTGGTCCTCAGGCCTTGTTTTAAATGTTTTTGGTCAAACATTCTTCTAAGTGGACATCTGTCCATTTGCTGTATAGAGGTAACTTGCGGTTGCTGTGATGCTAAGCACTGTGACACTGATGTGTCAAATAATAATGGTGATGATGGTTACCCATGGTGGACAGTATTTGGTGGCACTCTCTGATTAAAACAAGCTTGGAAGTAGGAGTGGCATCCACTTACTAAATAGCTTGCCTCCTGAAACTCTATGGACTTAGAGAAGCGATGAAAGTTATACAAGCCTTCAGAGCTTGTTCATAGGGTTGAGGCATCTATGACTTGATGGCACTTAACTATGAACAAGATCTGAAGGGCAGATGTAGAACAATTGAACATATGGATCATAAAAGAAGAAACTGAGCAGGTTATAAAAAGATTCCCCCACAAAAAAAAGTCCTGGACCAGATAGTGTCACAGCTGAACTCTACCAAACATTCAACAAAGATTTGTCACCAATTCTACTTAAAATATTTTAAAAAAATAGAAAAAAAGGAACACTCCCAGAGACATTCTGGGGAGTGAGCATAACACTAATATCAAAACCAGGCAAATATATTACCCAAATATGAATACTAAAGACCAAAATCTCTCAAGAACATAGATGCAAAAACTGTAACAAAATTTTGGCCAATAGAAACCAAAAGCACACACACACACAAAAAAAAGTTGAAAGAACTTGTTCTTGAAAACAGTGTATTCAAAGTTTGTAAATAAACTAGGAGAAAATTAAAAAAATTTCTTCATGACCAAGTGGGACTGTAAGGATGCCTCAGCATAAGAAAAAAGATCATTGTGATTTACCCCATTAATAAAGCTAATAACAAGAAGCGTAATTGATGCAAAAAAGTTATTTGCAGCAGTTTTAAATAATTTGTCTGAATTTTACTACATTTAACCTCTTACATATAGAAGAAAGAGCTTTACAGGTTAGCACAATACTTAACAAGGTAATTGCAATCATATTTGATGCTATACCATTGAAATTAGTTGTTGCCATTGTTAGGTGCCATTGAATCAAAGCCAACTTATAGCTCACTGATCCTATAGCAGGTTTTCAGAAACTGTAAATTGCAGAGGAGGAGACTACCCATCTTTCTTCCAAGGTGAATTTGAATTGCATGCCTTTGCATTGATAGCCAATTCCTTACCACTAGGCCCCCCAAGAACATCAAATGTTAAGATCTAGGCAGCCCTGCTGAAAGTTAAGTTTCTTTTACTAAAAGGAAGAAGGGGAAAATAGACTCTAGAGGATAGTCCATGCCTTCCTGCTAATATCTTCTATTCTTTAACTTTTATTTTTAAAAAAATCACACATGTATTTGAAGAGAGCCATAATAAATAAGAGATTTAAAAAAATAAATAAGATATTTTAAAGTTGGTTGCTCTTTTATTAAATATTATAAAAATAATTATTTAGAGGTTTTGAGACTAGATAAACTTAAATGATTTTTTTTAAAAATATGGAATGCTTCATGAATTTGCATGTCATCCTTGCGCAGGGGCCATGCTAATCTTCTCTGTATCGTTCCAATTTTAGTATATGTGCTGCCGAAGCGAGCACATAAACTTAAATGATTTAATGTCACTGTTAAAGATGGAATACAGTGTGAATTAAGGATAGTGTGAAACACAATTTATACAAACTTTGTAAGTAAACCAATATAATATTAAAATTTAAAAATATTTTAAACAGAGTATTAAATCTGAGTTCATAGAAAAATAGAAAAAGTTTAACATCATCTCACTTAGCTCTATAACTTTGTCTCATTACTTGAATTAATCAGGTTTTGTTGTAAATGTGTACAAAGCAAGGATACTTCTTATGCTTGTCTTCAGAATTTTATGTAGATTTTATTTCCATTATATAGGTTCTGATGTCATAAATGCCTCTTTGAAATTTTAACTAAAGAAAGAAATTCTGCATGTTTTAAAAGCATCTTTGAAAAGTGATTAGTTGTGACTTACTGATTCATTAATAAAAAATTACAGAATAAGTGTTAAAGAATAAATTATGAAAGATAAATCTATGATGGTGGATGTTTTTTCCCCTTGAATACTTTATTATTGTTGTTGTTATAGGTTCAGGAATCCCAAGACAGAGAGAAGCAGGAAGAAGCAGAGAATATAAATCCACTTTTGGAAGGAGAAGAAAAATGCATAAAAGAACTCGATCCTATAAAGCAGAAGTTTAGGACCATAGAGAATGGTAAGAAAAAGAATTTAAGTGTGGAGTCATTATTCTTTAAGAAAGAGTTAAATGCCATTACCATGTTCTCTAAGAGAACCGTAAAATTTTGAATTAATTTATTAAGAAAAGAAAAAGTTAAAAATTATAAATCAGTTACTATTTGGATTTAGGAAATAAAAGCTTTTTGCCTTTAGATAATTCAGATCTGGTAGAATTCTGATGAAGTAAAACACATTTCTTTGACTATTAACAAAAGTTTGATGAAAATTATGTGAGAGATAATTCACAACACATTTTATTGGGTTGCCATTACTATCTCTAAACCATAAACTAGTTTACACATGAAATCAGGATCGGTCAGGAAGACTCATCAATTACCTGGATTATGCAGATGACACAACCTAACTAGCTGAAAGTCTTGAAGTGCTTGTGACAGAAGATCAAAGATAACAGCCTTCAGTATGGATTACATCTTAATATCAAGAGGACAAAATCTTCACCACTGGGCCGGTAGTCTATATCATGATAGATGGAGAAAGGATTGAAATTGTCAACAACTTCATCATACTTAGATCCATAGTCCACACCGTTGACACCCACAAGAAAGAAATCAAAACACATTTCATTGGGAAGTCTGCAGTCAGGAATTGCTCCGAAGTACTGAGGAGCAGTCATGTCAGTTTGAAGACTAATGTGCACCTAGGTCACGTTATGTATGGTCTTTTCAGCCATTAGCTATGCATCTAAGAACTGGACAGTGAATAAGGATGAGAGAAGAAAAGTTGATGCCCTTCAATTGTGGTGTTTGAAAACAGTGCTTATTATCCTATGGACTGTTGAAAGAACAAAGAGATGTATCGTGAAGGTGTAGCCAGAGTGCTCCTTAGAAGCAAGGATGATGACATTTTGTCTCACATACTTTGAGCATGTTTCTACAGAGAGAGTATGCCTTGGGAAGGGACACCATGTTAGGAAGGGTAGAAGATCAACAGAAGAGAAGACTTTCAATGAGGTGGGTTGACATAGTGACTACACCACTGGGTTCAAGCATGCCGGAGATGGTGAGGATACGACAGATCTGTTCTTTATAAGGTCACTATGAGTCATAGTCAACTAAACAGCTTGTAACTAACAACAAGAAGAAATACATTTTAATAATTTTTCTTTAGTTTTAATAAGTAATACAAATCTTATAACATGTTACTTATTAGCTTGGAGGTTTGGTGGACAGTTTTGGATATTGTGTGATGAACAGTTTTAGATTCTAGAAATGAATGATGAACAGTTTTAGATTCTAGAAACAAAGCTCAGCAGGAATGTTTCCCTCAGCAGTGTTTGAGAGGGTGGAGGAGTATAAACTCTAATTACCATTTTTGTTCTCTTATATAGTAGCTATATAAATAGAAATCCTTTCTCTTTTCCCCTTAAGGAATAAATGAAACAAATTCATGACGCAGTTGTTGCTTAAATTTATGTATACATACATTATATATGTTATATATAATTTTATATATAACTGTTTTTAATTATAATATGTTTTGAAGCGGGTTTTGTATCACTGTTGTCTAATGCACACAGAGTGAGATACTTTCAGATGTTAAACTACAAGAGGGTAAATTAGATATTATGACCAATATCTGAGTAACAAGAAAAGGACTTTTTGATCTTTTTTTAATGGACTTCCCCTCCTCTGAAGTCTGTGTGGAATGATCTCAAATGTCAGTAAGAATTTACTCACGTTAAGAAAGTTGTGGTGTTCTTACATATATTAATAGTTTTAATGTGTAACGCCTCAAAATCATAGAAAACTGGCTAGAACAACCAACAAACCATTGAAAGTAAGTTATATACCTTATGCCTCATAGCTTTAAGCACTTCCTTATATATATTTTCCCAAAAGAAGGCATTTTGTCATATAAGCCCAATATGATTTTTACTTTTAGGAACTTTAACTTTGATTATAGTACTTTTGTTTGATTTGCCCTCCGTTTTACATTTTTTCAGTTGATACAACAATGTCCCTTGTAGCATTTTTTCCTTTGACAACATAATCTTGACTTGATTGTCATATCTCTATAGTTTCTTTTTAATGTAGAATAGCTTCTTAGACCTTTATATTTTGTGAGATCAATTTTTTATGTATATAGGCTACATTTAAAAATAGAAAGTTCTCTGTGTTTAGTTTGTGTAGAGTTTTTTCTTAAAAAGATGTTTTATATGTATCTTGTGTGTTAATTCTATATAAGTGATACTATGTAATTCCCAAGGTATGACATCAGGAGTTTAAACTGTAAAGGTTTTTGTTTCAGCTCTCCATTCATCTGTTTGTATGTCCATCCATGCAATCATCTCCTATGTAGTACTATATCTGTGGCAGTGGACTCAAAAGTGTTGAGGATGATAAGGAGGGCGCAGGATAGCACAGAGTTCAGATCTATTGTTCATAGGGTCACTATGTATTGTATTTGACTCAATGGCATTTAACAAGCAGTAACAAGTATTAGGGAGCTCTGGTGGCTTAGAGCCAACTCTAAGGTGGCACTCAACTTTTGAGGTGGCACTGCCAACTCAAAAGAATGCAGTTCTAATCCACCAGATGCTCCATTGGAAAAAGTGAAGGCAGTCTTCTCTTGTGCAATTTACTGTCTCTTAAAATTCTCCACAGGGTCAGCTATGAGTTGGTTCCAACTCAATGGTATATAAGAACAATAACTACATATTAATTTTAGGCAACCTCTTCCCCACCCATATCCTGAAGGATACTTTTTATTAATTGTGAATATTAAATGCTGTATGCAGAAATATCTTTCCTTTGCATCCCACAATTTAGAAATGAAATTTATAGTGTTCATTCTCACTATACTTACCTTACCCAGATTAGATAGACTGTTGTTTTATAAAAGCTAGTAATTGAATTTTTCTGTTTAAAAATATAAATTCCAATTTTTAAAATTTAATTTCATACAGAATGGGAAGGAGAAGAACTGGATAAAAAGCAAAGAGAAAATAATTTTTTACTGAAAAGAGATGAGAAGCCAGAGTTGGAAACTGGAAGATATCAAATGGAAATGTACATTGAAGATCCTGATAAATTGAAAGAAGAAGATGAAGAAGAAAGGCTGAAAAGAGAAATGCTGCTTGCTAAACTGAATGAAATCAGCCTAGAACTCAAAGATTCTCAGAACCTAAAACATCCTCCTCTGCCATTGCTACCTGATTTTAAATCTAAGCTAAATCCCCCACTGAAAAGCCCCAAAACAAACATGTTTTCTGAACCCTTAGAACGGTCACTTAATGGGCATGAGGTCCAGGATGTCAGTATTTTCACTACAAAAGGTGAGGGCCCAAATCTAAGAGATCATCAAAGCCCAGCCTCTCCAAATGAGCTTGCATTTGGTAGCTATGTGCCTTCATTTGCAAAAACATCAGCAAAGTCAAATTTACTTAGTCAAAAGAGTGGCCTTTTGGAATTTCACAATAACACTATGGAAAAACTTAATACAGACAGTGCAGATTTAATTACAAGAAAAGAAAAAAAGGCTAATCTGATGGAACAGCTGTTTGGTCCCGGTAGTGGCAGCAGCACCATTTCCTCTAAAAGCAATGATTTCAACTCTCTGGCTGTCAGCAGAGGAGAGCTTGACTCTCTGCATATTCTCCCTGGGGACAAAAGTGGCAGAGGCCGAGAACAAGATGAAGATGATGACTTTTTCCTCACCGAAGGTAGACATTTTAATCAAAATAGAAACAGATTAAAACATACAAACAATAGGCCAACAGTAAATGTGGTTGATTCTGTGGAAGATGAAATTGAAGAAGTAGCACTGAGATGACTAGCTTGATTATATATATTTTCAATTTTAAATATTAAAATATTTTAATACAGTATTTATTATAAACATTTATACATGGTAATGTCAATAAGTTCTTGTTAAAGGATGGTTTATAATTGCTAAATGCAGTGCAGATTCTAAAAAGTAGACCATATCATGCTCCATGGCCAATTTGCCAGAAGTGAAGGAAGAGGGTCTTTTGAATGAAAACAAAAATAAGTCCATCTTTTTATGTACAAACTAGTTTTACCTCTGGGCAGTTTTACTACTTTAGAGGTAATATTCATTCCTAATTCTGTACTGGTTTATTTTCCCAGTCATATCCTGAGTGAGCTAAATAGCCTTCCTGCTCAGTTTTAAGTGGAAATCAAGAGGAAGAGGTTTTGTGTAAGAAGTACAGTTTAAGGGTTTATCCTTTTATTATTATCCTTTATGGATTAGGGTGGGTTTCCTTTGCCTAGTGAGGCAGAACTACTCTTAAGTGACAAGATAACATTGGGATAATATTCCTTTAAAAATACTCTTAAACATTATTCATTTCCCAGTTACAAACCTCATAAAATCAGATACCTACCACTGTGGTAGTATATTAGGGTGAATTCAGCAGCCAGAGTTCTGTCTTTGTGGACAGTTCCCCTCTATCAAGGCTCCCTATGGCTTGGAGACACTAATCCGCAGTCCATCTCTTTGTTGTTCTACACCTTTGTGTCTCAGTGACTGGGTGTGAGATTTCATTCCAAACACAAGGAATAGAAGAAATTTCACAGTATGCAAAGATTTTTAACTCAATTATGTTTCCAAAGTAAGATGATTTAGAAATTTTAATACATACCTTTAATATTAAACCTTACCCTACAACCAAAGGACAATAGTATAGAACTAATGGATTGATGGGATGTTTTTAGTGCAATATTGAATAAAAGTCTTTTAGAAGATAGAGCTTCTGCCTTGTTGAATAGGGTGGATAGCTTCCTGTTGAAATGCATTGGTATGACCTTGGATTATTTTGGATATGATTGGTCTTTTTTAAGAAGGATTAGTACATATCAACCAAGAAGAAAACTGATAAAAATGTGTATCAGAGAGGAAAATGTATATTAGCACTTAATCTAAAGTGACCTTCTTTTTCAGAATTTTTTTAAAGCTATGTATTTGCTCATAGTTTGCTTTTTGATGCCAAGCATGCATACCAGTGAGAGGGCTAGAGTCTTTATTTTATTTTGAACTCTTATAAATACTTAATGCTATTGAGTACCATTTCATAATTGTTTGATAAGACTTTCCTGGTTAGGTCTCTAATTAAAGGATGTTCCACCTGTCATCTTCTAATTTGTGTTCCTTTCATTTATTGGGAACAGAATCCCCTAGATGTGCTGACTTTATATTAGAAAATTTCTTTAATGAAGATATTTATAAGTCAGATATACATAAGTATTTAATAATTTTCAAACCATTCCAATATGCGTAAAATAATATAATTGTGATTCAGGTCTTGCTGAAATGTAATTATTATGTAATGTTAATTTTGTTCATAGCTGCTAATTTTTATGCCAAAAATATTCTAATTTTTAGATTGCTTTGTTTTAAAGTTTATTTTTAAGCATTTTAAATAGTAAAGTTCATTTTAAAAATAATCTTAAATGGTTGTTTCCTTTTTCCTAAATGCTGTTTTCTAAAAGTCCCTTTAACCAGATGTAATAAGACCAAATTACTAAAATTAAGTTACTGAAAAAAGCATTAAGGTGTTGAGCATTAAAACTGGATATTAAAATGTGTATAACAGATTTGCTTTATGAGCAGACCCTAAAGAGTAAATATATTTTCCTAAACATCAAGTTCATATGTTATTTGTACTCTTATTAATAAAAATTAAAAACACACTGTGACTCTGTATTTAAATGAGGTAGTGGAAACAGCAACAAGGGGGTTAATTTTAGTTCACTATTCACCTTTCTTTTTTGTCTGTCCAGTGTTTTTCAGTTCAAGTAGATGAATTTGCCCTTAAACAGGTTAGACAGTTTGTCATTCTTATCAGATAATTATAGTTTTAATTAGTCCTTTCACCCTTAATAGCTATCTTAATGGCACATATTGCTAATAATATTTTTTAAAGGTGGGGGGTAAGGAGGATTAAATTGAAACATGAGATAAAAACAAGCTTATTTCATGGCTGACTTGCTATTTTTCTAATGCTCTCCCTGTGTAATTTTTAGATATTTAAGAAGCTAATTTCCCAGTTTTTTAGTTGGACAGAGCATACAAATACACCTTATGAAAGGGGAAGAGAAATTTACATTAGGGTGTTTCTAGGATTAAATTACCATAGATTTTGTGAAGAAAGAATCTTCTCTTTGTCCTGGGAGTGGAGGAAGGCACCCCTGATTGGAACATATTCTATTTTTTGTTAAGGCATAACTAGGATGACTTCATCTCTTATTCCAGAGAATAAGAGATAGCCTCAGCATGTTTCCAAAGGCCATAGCTTTCATTTAATATGGTTTGGAGGAGAAAGCCATCAATGCTAGATTATTACTGCTGTTGGCTACACTTCATCACTGTTGCTGGCAGGACTGCCCAAGTAGACAAAAGACCATGATTGGGAAACATACACAAAAGACCATGATTGGAAAACATACACAGTTGTAGAGTCAAAAACCTTCAAGGATGGCTCTGGGGGCTCTTACCGCCTGGCTATTGAGTAGTCAGATCTGTGACTTATGGCTAGGAGATCCAGAGTCATGCCACAGAACTTGACATCATACAGCTATTTTTGGTAAATCATTAAGAACAAGCCCAAATGAATTCTCCAGTTCTTCCTTGTAAGTTCCAGGGGCTAATTACGGCTCCCTAGGGAGCTCTGGTAGCCTACAATTGAGGAGCTGTGCTGCCATCCCAAAAGCACATGGTTCAAATCCACCAGCTGCTCCATTGGAGGATAAGCAGTTTCTTCCTATGCAATTTACTGCTCCTGAAAACCCACTGGAGGGTCAACTCTGGGCTGTTTCCAACTCGGAAGTACACAACAACAAAGGAGTTCTGGTCCCCTAGTATAAGGAACTGAACTACCAATCCAAAGCCACGCAGTTCAAATCCATCAGCTACTCTACCGGAGGATGGGCAGTTTCCTCCTGTGTGATTTACTGCCTTTGAAGACCTGATGAGGGGTCAATTCTGAGTTAGTTCCAACTTGATGATCCACAATAACACCAGGGAGCTCTGGTGGTTTAGTGGTAAGGAACTGTGCTTCCAATCCAAAGGTATATGGTTTGAATCCACCAGCTGCTCTGCAGGTGAAAGATGGACAGTATCTTTCCATGTGACTTACTGCTTCTAAAAACTCACTGGACGACTAGCTATGAGTCAGTTCCAGCGCAACAGTACAGAACAACAGGTTTAATAAAGGATTGTGCTGCCAGTCCAAAGTCAGGAAGGTCAAAACCACTAACTGCTTCTGCAGAGTAAGATGGGCAAACTCTGATTGTACCATTGACAGCCTCTGAAAACCCATGAAGGTCAGCTATGACTTGATGCCAGTGAGTTGAGTTAGTTTTGTGCTTTTGTTTTTTTAGGTTTGTTTGGCAGTTGTAATCCTCTTTCAACCATACTCTTCCTGAGGGCAGAACCACATGGCTGGTTTACTGGTCAGAACTCAAATGGTGTCTGAAACTGCTAAGAATTGAAATGGAGTTAGGGTTTCATTGCAGACGCCTACCGCTAGCCAAATGTGTCAGAGCTTAAAGTCTAATATGCTTTCTTTTCTACATAGTAAATGACTGTCTCATGTCAACTTCTCCTTTCATATACCATTTGAAGGAGATCTTTCATTTAAAAGGTTGTGAATCATTCATTAAATATTTACTGAATATTTCTGGTGTGCCTGGGTAGGGGCTACCTGGAGAATGTAAGACAGATTAGGCCCCTGCCCTCTTGAGGGCAGCAGCCCAAAAGTGAATGTATCTAGAGCAGGGTTAAAGTCAGCCTGCAGGTGGCTCTTACCTGCCTCCCCACGTTCCCTGTGCACATTTGACTAGAACTCCTCGGCTAGTATTAGGCCATAGAATATAAGGTGGCTATGAAGAATAAATGAAATAATTTAGGTTAATGTTGATACATTATAAGCACTCAGTAAAAACTGGCTTTGTAGTCTAGCTAATTGCTACTTTCTTTTAGGGATTAATTGAAGGGGAAAAAAATGTAGTGTAGCAATGTATACTTTGTACAAGATATAAGCAGCAAATGCTTCCAAAATGGAATTAATGAGTATAAGACATCTTAACTAAATATATCATTCTTGAATCTATACTGAGAAGTTTCCTTACTTTATACAGCAGTAAGTGTGTAATAAGCTTATGCTGTCACAGAAGTGTAGAAAAGCTAAATTTTAGAATACCTCTGAAGACTGGTTCAGAAACACCAGGAGAAGTGAAATTTGACAGCCACATGGCAAAGAAAGTGAATCAAGAACACTGCAATTTTTATCCCATTCCATGAATGCCCATGTTTAGTGGATAAAACCTCACACCTGAGTTTCCTCCTCTATAAAATGGAGCTAACCACCCCTGCCCCACAGGGCTTGAGTATATTGAGTTAATACAAAAGTGATTACTGTTGAAAGCACTCAAATGTTAATTACTGCTGCTATTGTATTGGATTGCATTGGGAAATTCTGCTGTCAGGGTCCTCTCCCAGAGTACTGAAGAGCAACAATGTCAGTCTGGAGACTGAAGTGTACCCAATCCATGCCATAGTATTCACAATTAATAGCTATACATCAGAAAGCTGGACAATGACTAGGGATGATGCCTGTGAGTTGTGGTGCTGGAAAAGATATTGAATATGCCATGGACTTCAGGAGAACAAACAGATTCATCCTAGACAGGGTAAAATGCTGCTTGGAGGCAAGTCTGAGGCTTTGTCTGACATACTTTGGGCATGTTGCAAGGAGGGACCAGTCCTTGAAGAGGGACGCCATGCTTGGGAGGATAGAGGGACAGTGCAAG